AGAAGGGATTGTGGTGTGACCATCCCCCCTGGGGGGTGATTTCTCACTTTCTATCTCTATGTCTCTCTCTGTCTGTCTGGTGAGCGCACACGCCCTACAGTGAAAATCTCTCTCAAAAAAAAAAATACATATAAATAAATAAAGTTATTAAAAGATGGAGTGGCTTTCCCCTTGGTATATACTAGAGATGGAGAATATATCTGAGAAAACTTCAAACAGAGAAACATTCCCATTTATGGAATGGGCTTAGCTCTGTTGACACGCATAACTTTTGGGTAACAGTTTCCCAGTTACAGTAATCTAAAGTCACTAGTCATGAATTATTTGGCAAGCAGCTAAGAGGAAGTTCCTCTTGAATGTTAGTAAAGCACACATTCTGTCTCATTTTCATTCTGTCCAAAGCACTACGTGTTCCACAGAAGAAATGTGCCCTCTGAGGCCCTAGTGCTGTCTAAACGTGTGCAGAGATGAAGCAGGACAGGGTGCTTTCAGGGTCCTGTCCTCCTAGGGGCCAGGCCTCAGTTCTGCCCTGAGACTAAAGTATGTCTCTGGCATCCCTGTGCTTGGCCCTAACTTTCTGCCTTTGTCTCTCCACTCCCCTTCTCAGTGTTTAATTTTAAAAATTGATTGTCCTGGAGTGTCCCAGGGAAGACCTCCCTTTCCCGAGCGAATGTCTGCACCTTGCACTTGGACTTGCTTGCGACAGCTGCTCTTGCTGTCCAGTTTGGCTTGGTGAGCTCAGAGGCACCCTCATGCACAGTTTTGGCGTGGATGCCTCAGTGACTCTTAGGGAGGTTTTACAAACAAGATATACCTAAAAATAAATTAAGCACTCTCTGACTCTCCTTACCTTATCTAAAATGTGATCAAGCTCTGCCCAAGTGCTATGCCTGAGCATTTCCATTTTATTGTTCCCTTTTCTAACATTTCCCAATTAAATTTCTACATGGGCAAATAGCTGTATCTTTTTTGAACACACCCTTTTCCTTTTTTTTTTTTTTTAGAGGTTTTCGCTATAGGGCGTGTGCGCTCACCAGACAGACAAAGAGACATAGAGACAGAAAGCGAGAAATCACCCCCCTGGGGGGATGGTCACGCCGCAATCCCTTCTCCTCCATTCTCCTCTCAGGATCTTGGGCACGCACGCACACGTGCCCGGCGTGAGTTTTAAGCCACCGGGTCAGGGACGCAAACCGCGGTCGACTACGTGGGAGTCCAGCGACATAGCCATTATGCTAACTGCTGGTTCCCGAACACACCCTTTTCCTAAGGATAAGTTACAGAGACATGAGTATCATGCTCAGTGAAATTCAACTATTATTTATTGAACATCTCTTTTAACTAATCACCCTGAACAGTGCTCTTCAGAACTTCTGCTTTTGCCTTATATATGGGAACTAAAAAAGCCAAATTCAGCTTATGAATATGCAGCTACTTTCTAAGCAAATGAGATGTTTTTCTAGCAGTAAAAATAATAAAATGGGAAGGTAGCTTAGGTATAAAATGAACCCCTCCAAAATGTATTAAATATACTGTGATGTGGCCAGGACCCACTGGGAGTGCCTTCTCTTTCTCCCCCATTCCCTGGCATTTAAAAACAAAAACACTGAAAAAAAAAAAAAATTACAACTTTCCTATAAACTTAGCATTGTTTCCAAGTAAAAAGAAAGAAACATTGTTTCCATATTACTTTCTCTTAAACACTGTTTCCATATTCTTTCTCTTAAAATATTCTTTTGCACAATTTAAAAAATTTACTTTATCATCCCTTATCTTCTTGCTAGCCCTTGAAAGATCTGAGCAAAAGCAACGATCTGATGCAACAATTTAAATATAGATCTTCAGTTTACTTTGTGAGGTTTACTCTGACAGCCCTGGATGATGATCACATGCAAACCAGGATCCCTGTTGCCAAGGAAGCAAGGTCAGAGTTCAAAAGTATTGGTAAAGAAATCTAATTCTTCACTTTGGACCGAAACTATGCAAACAGAGCATTCCATCTGATAGGCCTGATGACCAGTGATAATGAAGGGGGAGGGGCTGTGCAGGTGGCAGGAGCAGAGAGGACTGAATGGGGACTGAACTTACTTCAGAACCTGTAAAAGTCCAGGTGTCACAGATGTTGGTCTCACCATTCCAGCTCCACTGATGGTCCCCAGATGAACCTGAGGATAATAGACTGTCCGGAGAGCTAATCTCGAAGACTGCAACCTCGTCTTAATGACTTCTAGTGGACAAGTGAAAATAGCACCAACCGTGCCCCCACACCTGTAAGAAAGGAGATTATGACAAGTTCAGAAAAGCAACACTACTTTCTGCAAACGGATGTGAAGTTTAAGTTGTCTCTTTTAAAAAAGGTACATAGGTCGCAGGAGGCAGCAAACAGACCCCAGAACCATGTTTTGAAACCAGTAAGACAACGATGTCACTGTTTGGAGCCCTCAGGGCAGGATTCATCAAACTGAATATGCTATAGAAGCTGTTAAACAGGGTTCAGTCCCAGTTGGTCTGAAATCAAAGATCCATGCTGTGTTGGTTGCACTGAAGAGGGCAGTCAGAGCTTGCAGTTCATCAGAAAAAAATTCTCCATGTGACAACCATATTGGTATCTCAACTGCAGGGCTTACTGCAGATGCTAGACTGTTATGCAATTTTATGCACCAAGAGTATTTGGATTCTAGATTTGTATTTGATAGACCACTTCCTGTGTCTCAGCTTGTATCTCTAATTGGAAGCAAAACCCAGATACCAACACAATGATATGGCCAGAGTCCGTATGGTGTTGGGCTGCTCATTGCTGGTTATAAGGATATGGGCCCTCACATTTTCCAAACTCGTCCATCTGCTAACTGTTTGGACTGCAGCACTGTGTCCATTGGAGCCCATTCTCAGTCAGCTCGTACTTACTTGGAGAGACCTATGTCTGGTTTATGGACTATAATTTGAATGAACTGGTTAAACATGGTCTGCGTGCCTTAAGAGAGACTCTTCCTGCAGAGCAGGACCTAACTACAAAGAATGTTTCCATTGGGATTGTTGGTAAAGACTTGGAGTTTACAATCTATAATGATGATGACATGTCTCCATTCCTGGAGGGCCTTGAAGAAAGACCACAGAGAAAGGAACAGCCTGCCCAGCCTGCTGATGAACCTGCAGAAAAGGCTGATGAACTGATGGGACATTAAGTGATAAAACTGTCTATATGTGTATTATTAAACATGTAAGAAAGCAGGAACACATGGCTACAGTGACGATGACAGTAATTTATACTTCAAACTAAAAGGTACAGTGCTAGAATAGTATGTTGTAGGAATCAGCTGAGATGCGTGTTTTTTCCAAGCAGTCTCACCATGGAGATATAATGGAGAGCATTTTTCTTTGAAAGGGTCTACATAATCATTTTCTAGAAAGTATAGCTATCTGTACTAATAGTTTTATGTGAAGAAAATAGTGCCTTTGCAATTTTAAAGACAACTGTGAAGTAAAAATGTTTTGCCTCTTGCTAAAGAAAAAAAAAGTACATATGTTCATTTAATAAAAACTAGAACATAAAGGAGATTTACGAAAAAATGAGTTGAAACTCTAAAGTGATGACCACTGTTGTTACCAAGTTAGCACATCCTTTGGGGCTTTAGGTTACTGGCTTTTTAACCTCGCCTCACACTCCCCATCTTGTCCAGACATTGTGAACATCCTTGTCAATTCATACATATCTACACTGGGGACCAGCAGGTGGTGTGGTGGTTAAGGTGCTGGATTCCCACATACCTAACCGTGGTTCGAGTCCCAGACCTGGCAGTTTTCTTTCTCACTTTCCCTCTCTGTTTCTTTCTGATCAAATTAAAAATAAATAAATAAATAAATAAATCTTTTAAAAATAATACATATATATACATGCCTACATCATCCCATACTAACCCTCTGTATCAATGTGTGATTTTTTTTTTAGAGAGATTTTTGCTATAGAGCCTGTGGGTTCGCTATAGAGACAGAGACAGAGAAACAAAAAGTGAGAAATCACCCTCCAGGGGGATAGCCCCACTTCACTCTCTTTTCCTCCATTCTCCTCTTGGGATCTTGGGCAACCGCACACACACGGGCCAGAAGTGAGTTTTAAGCTACTGGGTTCAGGACTCGCACCACAGTCAACTACATGGGAGCTCAGCAATGTAACCATTACACCATTTGCTCATTTCTTTCTTTTTTTTTTTTGGAAGAGGTTTTTTTTTTCCTTTTTTTCCGCTACAGGGTGCATGCGCTAGCCAGAAAGACAAGAGACAGACAGAGAGACAGAAAGCGAGAAATCACCCCCGGGGGGGATGGCCATGCCGCAATCCCTTCTCCTCCATTCTCCTCTCGGGATCTTGGGCAGGCATGCACATATGCCTGACGTGAATTTAAGCTGCCGGGTCCAGGACTCGAACTGCAGTTGACTACATGGAAGTCTAGTGACATAACCATTACGCTAACTGCTGGTCCCACCATCTGCTCATTTCTCTGTGTATAATATTTTAATCAATTTTCTACTACTGGACATTAATGTCATTACCAATTTCACTACCATGCTGCAATGAATATTCTAGAAAATAAAGCTTTTCACACTGAAATCTAAAAAAAAGTCATTATGTAAGGCTACTATCTTGAAAACTCAATGTTTACTATAATACAGACCTTTCTTACAATCTGATTAATTTGGACTCTACTGAAAATTAAACTAAAGCTTATTTTCAACAATGAAGTCCTTTGTGTTCCCCTCATTCACAACTAATCAATTCATCCTGTGTTTTCATTAGTCATGTTGTCTGTCTGGATCAAGTTCCCTGAGTCAATGATTTGAGTATTTACCCTTTACAGCATGTTCATATCTACACATCACCTGAACTACTATTTAAACATTTTCCTTAAAGTCAACTCACATATTTATCCTAAATGCCTGCTTCCAGCTTCTCTTAAACAATACTATCTATGAAATTACATGTTTGAAGGGCTGGTTATAATTAACGATGCCATGTACCATCAAAAACCATCATCCACACCACCAATGACACAGGCTTTACTCTGGAAAACACGGCTCAATGATATAATGAGTTCCTCAAGACCAGGACCTAGGGTCTTACTCACTCTGCAACCACAGTATCAGGACTTCAAGAATTCCCAAACAATATCTGCCAAAGACTGAGATTTCAAGAAGAGTGGTTTTTAAGGTGATGTCTAAATATCTGAAGAAAGCACCTTCTCTTTTCTGTCACCTGCTGTCAACAGACTGGGAAGGGCTGTGAATGGTATATTCTTGAACTTAGCTGGAGCATTGCACCTGGAGGATAATGTGATTCAAAAAAAAAAAAAAAGCATTACCTCAGCATCTCTGACTGGGAAAAGTAACAACAGGAAGGAAGGACAGGCCCTGGCTGTACCAAATATTTACATCAGCTTCCCTACGCCACCAGATCTAAGAGGTGGAAACTGAAGTAAGCCCAGCACCCAACACAGACCCTGAAGTAAGAATAATGTAAATCCTGGGGCTGGCAGGTGGTGTGGTAGTTAAGGATGCTGGACGCCTACATAGCCAACCATGGTTCGAGTCCTAGACCTGGTGGCTTGCTTTCTCACTTACCCCCTCTCTCTCACTCTGTACCTTTGTGGTCAAATTAAAATAAATAAATTAATTAAATAATTCTTAAATAAAACAAACTAATAAAGTAAAATCCCTGTGGTATGGTGGTTAAGGTGGCTCGATCCTACACAGCAGACTATGCGGTTCAAGTCCCAGGCTCTGAGCTTGAAAGACATATTTAAACAGATTTAAGTGCCTAAGCCAAAGCCCAAACCTGGACCCTGTCCTCAAAACTTGAGTTCTTGGGAACCAGCAGTTAGCGTAATGGCTATGTCGCTGGACTCCCACGTAGTCGACCGCGGTTCGTGTCCCGGACCCGGTGGCTTAAAACTCACGCCGGGCGCGTGTGCGTGCGTGCCCAAGATCCCGAGAGGAGAATGGAGGAGAAGGGATTGCGGCGTGACCATCCCCCCGGGGGGTGATTTCTCGCTTTCTGTCTCTATGTCTCTCTCTGTCTGTCTGGCGAGCGCACGCGCCCTACAGTGAACATCTCTCCAAAAAACAAAAACAAAAACAAAACAACAACTTGAGTTCTTCCCACTATACTAATACTCTTTAGCAGGATTATTGAAAGTCAACTATTATATATGGTTGTAGTAGCTAATTTGGAAATATTTATAATCACTCAAAAATGGAAAATGGTTGATGAAATAACTAGGTCTTTAAAATTCAAGTATGTGAGGTTTTTTTTTTTTTTAAGAATTATTTTATTAAGCCTTATTTATTCATTCATTTATTTTTAAAATGGACCAGAGAAGGACAGAGTGAGTAAGAGAGAGAGTGAGGGAGCGTGACAAAGCAAGCTGCCAGGTCCAGGACTCAAACTGTGGTCAGCCACATAAGAGTCCAGCACCCTTAACCACCACACCTACCACCTGGCAGTCCCTGTGTGTTTTTTTAATCGATGGAAAACTATAAACTTAACTTAATATTGGTCTATATAATCTGCTCTAAGCATTAGAATATACCTAAAGAAAAAGAGATGTAATGGGGGAGTGTTCAAAAAGAGATGAAAAACAAAACAAAAAAACCTTTCTAACCTATGTCTATTTATACAAAACTTACCTATTATGGAATAAAATAAAGAAGTATCTGAAATCTACTTGTCAGTAACTTAACTCCATGCCACTGAAAAACAGCTTCTGGATAAATCCTTTCATCAGAAAGTCAGTAACTTATTCATGAGACAGCACCACCTTTGTTTTGTCCCTCAGCCAGTTGTACTCACTACTGTGGCCACCTGTCATCCCAATCTATGCCACTGAGCAGAGGATGACCAGCAGGAAGATGTGTTTGTCCTACGAAGCAAATGCCCTACTGACAGAGTCAGTGGCCTCTTTGAGGTGGCAGGCCATGGCCATTGTTTACATGCTGTACACTGCAACTAAGGTGGGGAGCAGGGTGGTGGAAGCGGAAAGGCCTGGGCTCCAAACCACTTACCAAGTGGATGAAGAGCTCGGGCATGCCAAGCCCTGGGGCCTCATCTACAAGGCACTCACAATGTCACAGCAAACAACCAAAAACTGAAAAAACACTGCACATGGAACATTATGATATTAAAATTAAGTAACTACTCAGTAGGTAAGCTCCTCCTTAACTGCTAGGGGGAAAAAAAAAACTTAAATGAGGTACATCCAAAGGATATTGAAGTCAT